TACTTCCATTTAATACATTATTAGAGATTTTTAGATAGAATAATCAGACAACCAGAGGAAAGGAATTCAGAGTAGAAAAGAATTAAAATTATCATTATTTTCAGATAATATTATCTATGTGTGTGTATACATATATACATACATACATGCATGCCTAAAGTTTCACTGAAAACCTACCAGGAACAATAAGTCACTGAGTAAATTAGGAAGTTACAAAATTAACACACAAAAGTCTGTTTCATTTTATATATAATGAATGAGAAGAAGAAATTCTTTTTATAATCATATCAAAAGACATATCTATAAATTAGCTCAACTAAAGAGGTGAAGTATTTATAGAATGAAAACTATGGACACTATTAAAAAGTATAGAATAAGATGTAAAAAGAAAGATACTCCATGTTCATGGATGGGGAGAATTAATATAGTAAAAATGACTACTGTGCTAAAATCAATATATCAATTTAATTGACCTATAATATAATGGGGAAAGTCTCCATTAAAATTCCAATATAGTCTTCAATAGAACAAACAGAACTAACATTTTTATGGAACCATAAAAGATCCTGAATAGCTGAATTAACTCTGAGAGGGGGAAAAAAGAGGCACATTAACTTGATTTTTAAATTGTGTTATAAAGAAACAAAAATTTAAACAAAATGGTATTAGAATAAAAATAGACACATGGACAGAATCGAAAGCATAGAAATAAATTTACACATACATCAATACCTAATTTAATAAAGTCTCTTTATCAAATGATATTGGGAAAATTGGACAACCACATGTAAAATGATGAATTTGGATCACTTTTTAATTCCACATACAAAATAAATTTAAATGGATGAAGACTTAGGTAGAAGATCCACAACAATAAAATATATAGAAGAAAGCACTGGCAACATGTTTCACGACATCAAGTATAGAGATCTCTCTGGGCATTCAACAACTACAACAAGGGAAATAAAAACAAAAATAAACAATTGGAATAACTTCAAATTAATAAGCTTTTACATTTTGAAAGAACATTTGAGCAGATTAATAAAATATCTACTGAGTGCAAGAAGATATTCACACATCACACAACCAAAATCCAAGGTATATAAAGAACTCATCCAACTTAACAACAAAGCAACATGCAACCCAAATAAAAATTAGCAGCAGATCTCATCAGAGAATTTTCCAAAGAGGATACATATGTCAGCAAATATATGAAAAAATTCTCATTATAATGAGAATGAGGGAAATGTCAGTCAAAACCACAGTGAGAGATTATATCACACTTGTGCAAATGTCATATATCAAAAAGACTCCCAACATCAAGTTTTGGAGAGGATATGGAGAAAGAGGAACCACAAAATATTGTTGGTAGGGATATAAAATTGGTACAGCCATTTTGGAAAGTGTTCTGGGCTTATCTTAAAATGCTAAAAATGGAAACATATATGATCCAGCAATCCCACTGTAATCTATCCAAGGAACATGAGATCTACAACTTGAAGAACTGCGTGCTTCGAAGTCTTCCTTGCAGCGTGACTTACAATAGCTAGGACATGGGCACCTGAGTGTCCACTGATAAAGGACTGGAGAAAGAAGATGTGGTCTCCAATTTTCCCAAAGCCATTTGCTAGAGAAGCTCCTTTCTTTATTAAATCGGGTACTGATATGTGTGTGTAGACTTACACATTGGGATAATATCGTCATAAGGGGAGATGACATGCTATCATTGACAGCAAATTGTAAGGAATTTGAAGGAATTATGTGAGGCAAAGTAAGTCAGAAAGTTAAAGGCAAATGTTGGATGGTTTCACATTTTTGAGTAATCTAAACAAACAAAACAAGTGAACTGACAAAGCAAAATGACTGTAAATCAGTGGACACTGACAATGAAACTGAGGTTTCAGAGGTTAAGAAGGTGGGGTGAGCAAGGAGTATAAAGAATTGTGGGGGGGGATAAAAATTGAAAATGGAAAGAAAAGGAAGAGAAGGGGAAGGTGAACGGATGGAGACACAGGGCACAGAGATGCCAATGGACAGCTCAGGCTGGGAAAGAATTGTCCTAAACTTCTTTCAACCCAACTGGTCTCTGTCTGTCTTAGATATGCCTGAACCCAGGGAACAGTAACTTCCTGGCTGGCAGCTACTGTGCAGGGACAGCCAGAAGAAGAAATTTAGAAAAATTCCTCATGCATATAGACTCAACAGGGGTAGTGAGGCAGGGTCTGGTGACATGGCAGAGGTGGTTGTTCAAGGGAAGTACACATATAAGAGATTGCTGGGTAAACAGAAAGACTCAGCTAAAGATGAAAATAAAGACAAGTCTTAAATGAAAAGCCAGGTTGACTCTGCCCTGGAATAAACCCTAGCTCTTTCTAAAATAATCCCTGATTGTGTCCCATAGCCCTCACCCTGCTCACACACTGAGCCCTGACCCTACTCACACACTGAGCCCTGAGCTGTTCACACACTGAACCCTGAGCCTGTCCACACACTTAGCCCTGACCCTGATGACATACTGAGCCCCGATCCTGCTCACACACTGAACCCTGAGACTGTCCGCACACTTAGCCCTGACCCTGATGACATACTGAGC